GCGGCCCCGGGGCTGTCCCGGGGCTGTCTTGGGGCTGTACCGTGGTTGCCCCAGGGCTGTCACGGGGTTGTCCCGGCGCTATACCGGGGCTATACCAGGGCTTTCCCGGGGCTGTACCGACGCTGCCCCAGGGCTATCCCGGGGCTGTCCTGGGGCTGTACCAGGGTTGCCCCAGGGCTGTCCCTGGGATGTACCGGGGCTATACCGGGGTTGTCCTGGGGATGTACCGGGGCTGTACTGGGGCTGCCCCGGGTCTGTACCGGGGTTGCCCCGGGGCTGTCACGGGGCTATACCGGGGCTATCCCGGGGCTGACCCGGGGCAGTACCAGGGCGATCTTTACATTTTTCTAGGAATGCCAGAAAAAAATGCACCAAAATATGACAAAAAAAAAGTGAAACGCAGTTAAAAACTCCCAGCCCGCTTAGTGGGGCGCCCAGGGACTCAATATCATTTGATTGAATAGTTGACCCAGCTCCTTGTTGTTTGAAGAAACCCTCCGCTTCAATTGCTTCTAAAATTAATATATGATTTTTAGTAATTAATGCAACAAGTGGCACCATTATTTGATGAAATTCTATTTTTTATGATTTTTTTTATTTTTCATTTTTAAAAAATATAATATAGCAGAAATGACGTCAAAAAATGACAAAAAAGTAAAACATTGTCAAAAAGCCCCCGGCCCACGTAGTGGGGCGTCCAGGGGTTGGCTTAAGGGTCGGGATGGGTAAAAAATTTACATTTTTATGTATATTTTGTATTGTGAAACTAATATATGATTTTCAGGAATTAATGCAACAAGCAGCACCATTTTTTGATGAATATACTATTTTTATGATTTTCTTTATTTTTCATCTTTGAAAAATAAAATAAAATAAAACTGACGTAAAAAAACTATGAAATTTTGCAAACATGATCCTTACATTTTTCTAGGCATGCCAAAAAAAAATGCCCTAAAAATGACAAAAAGTAAAACGCTATCAAAAAGCCACCAGTCCAAGTAGTGAGGCGCCCAAGGGCCGGCTTAGGGACCGTGATGGGTCAAAAATTTACATTTGTATTTATTTTTTACTTTCTAAAATTAATATACGATTTTTAAGAATTAATGCAACAAGCCACACCATTTTTTTGATGAATATTCTATTTTTTTATGATTTTCTTTATTTTTCGACTTTGAAAAATAAAATAAAATAAAAATGACGTAAAAAAACTATGAAATTTTGCACACACAATCCTTACATTTTTTTAGGCATGCCAGAAAAAAATGGCCTTAAAAATGATAAAAAAGTAAAACGCTGTCAAAAAACCCCCGGCTCGCGTAGTGGGACACCCAGAGACTGGCTCAGGGGCCAGGATGGGTCAAATATTTATATTGTTATTTACGTTTTACATTCCAAAATTAATATATGACTTATAGAAATTAATGCAATAAGGGGCACCATTTTCTAATGAATATTCTATTTTTTATGATTTTCTTTATTTCTCATCTTTAAAAAATAAAATAAAATAAAAATGGGGTCAAAAAACTATGAAATTTTGCAAACATGATCCTTATATTTTTCTGGGCATGACTGCAAAAAATGGCCTCAAAAAATGACAAAAAAAAAGTAAAACGCTATCAAAAAGCCCCCGGCCCAGGTAGTGGGGCGCCCAGGGGCCGGGATTGGTCAAAAATTTACATTTTTATTTATGTTTTACATTCTAAAATTAATATATGATTTTTAAGAATTAACGCAATAAGTGGTACCATTTTTTGATGAATATTCTATTTTTTATGATTTTCTTTATTTTCCGTCTTTAGGAAATATAATAAAATAAAAACGACGTCAAAAAATAATGAAATTTTACATACACGATCCTTACATTTTTCTAGGCTTGCCAAAGAAATGGCCTCAAAAAATGACAAGAAAAAGTAAAATGCTGTCGAAAAGGCCCCAGCCCGTGTAGTGGGGACAAGCCTTTGCATTTTTTGATGAACAATCTATTTTTTATAATTTTCTTTATTTTTCATCTTTGAAAAATAAAATAAAATAAAAATGATGTAAAAAAACTATGAAATTTTACAAGCACGATCCTTACATTTTTCTAGGCATGCCAGAAAAAAAATAGTCTCAAAAAATGATGAAAAAAGTAAAACGCTGTCAAAAAGCCCCCGGTCCGTGTAGTGGGGCGCCCAGAGGCTGGCTCAGGGGCGCAAATTATAAATAAAAATGTAAATTTTTGACCCATCTCGGCCCCTGGGTGCCCCACTACGCGGGCCGGAGGGGCTTTTTGACTGCGTTTTACTTTTTTCTATCATTTTTTGAGGCCTTTTTTTGCAAGCATGTCCAGAAATATGTAAGGATCGTGTCTGCAAAATTTCATAATTTTTGACGTCATTTTTATTTTATTTTATTTTTCAAAGACGAAAAATAAAGAAAATCATAAAAAAAGAATATTCATCAAAAAATGGTACCACTTGTTGCATTAATTCTAAAAAATCGTATATTAATTTTAGAATGCAAACATAAATAAAAATGTAATTTTTTTACCCATCCCGGCCCCTGAGCACACTTGTTGCATTAATTCTAAAAAATCGTATATTAATTTTAGAATGCAAAACATAAATAAAAATGTAATTTTTTTACCCATCCCGGCCCCTGAGCGCCCCACTACGCAGGCCGGGAACTTTTTGACCCCGTTCATTTCACCGATTTGAGTTTTGGTACAGTAAAAAGTTCTCAAAAACAGTCACATCTAACTTTTTTTGGTTCAGTAAAAAGTTCTCACATAAAGTCACATCTCAACTCAAATTAAAAACTCGAATTAGCGAACTAAACGGGCTCTAGGAAAACCATAAGGTTTCACTTAACTCAAACTTTTACTCCGTCAGTTTTTTGCCGCCAACCCTCCTCCATGTTATGCCAAGAAAAGCTACCGAGAAAAGGGGGTGAATTGGATTTTTAATTTTTTTTTTTTTGCAATTAAGTATAATTATTGGATAGCTAGATTAAAATAAAAAGTCTCAAAAGATTAACTAAACAAAGATAGAACAAATGAACACAACGAAGATAGAACAAATGAACACAAGAGGGACAAAAAAAAGGCAAGTAATGAAGAAACTTCAAAAAAGCAATATATTCAAGGACACAAGGAATAATCAAGTCAATCTCTTCAAATATTCTATGAAAAGTAATCAATCAAAAAGCAAATATTAATAATTTAAAGAGATTTAAGGGAAGAGAAGATAAACGAACATTCGGTAAAATTGTCTACATTTAGTCTCGCTGAGTATATCTGTTACTCGATCCCTTCAACTATTTTGACTGTCTTTTCGGTCGATCACTCTAAATTACATGCAGTAAATTCTTCTACCGGAGGCTCACCCGACCTCTTACAATCACCGATGTTTTTCTCGGAAATAAGCAAACCATATAATCCCAAATTACACGGTATAAAACTAGCACAATAGAAAAATTTGAATTTGAAAGCTTCTTGAAAGCACTCAACACTTTCTCCTAGAAAGATTCCATACAAATTTGAAACCTAAGAGATGATGAAATCACTCTATCAAAGTAGAATTAAAGGTAGGCTAAAGGGGTATGTGATGTAATGCAAAATCTATGAAAGATTGATGATTGTATAAGCCTTTGAGTAACTTTTAGATTTTCTTTTAGGCCTGAAAATGGCTTTAAATAGGGGGGGAAAAACCAAGTTTTGCCCGTTTGAACTATTTTGAACAGTACTGGTCGACTAGTGGAAGCAGGAATTTGAATTCATTGGTCGATCGGTAAATTTTCTAAAGCTCTGCAACCGGTAATTATTTGCTAAAACACACTCAAGATAAATTGATTAGAAATTACATAATTATCATCAAAACTTGACACTCAACCTTGGGCCAACACCCCAAATTCTAACAAATAGGTCGAATAGGAAAAAGAAAAAAAGACAAATAAAAAGAATAAATGTACTTATGCTCAAGCCCCAAACCGATTGGTCAAATCTAATTCAAAGTGATCTCAATCAGATTAAATTAGATTGGATGATACCTTAACAATTGAATTAGATTAGATGAAATTTTTAAAAGCCATCTTTTGATTGGATTGGTTGTCGTATGACTAAAATAGATTGGATTAAATTGGATGAACACCCCTAACAAATAGCATACTCTACTGTAGAAAGCTATGGTTTCTTTTCTTAATCCATAAGATACGATGTCAAATTTTGATATATATTTTTGCAACCAAACATGTAAGTAGGAGCTCAAAAGTATCTTCAATTAGCTCTTTTTTTTTTTTTAATGACCACTTTGCATTACATTTGCTTATTCTTTTAAAAAATATATATTTGTATTTTTCGACGTCTTTAAAAACCCATTTTTTAAAGTGTTTAATGAAACAAAAATGATATTTAAAATGAACCCCCTTTTGTTTCAATTAATTTGTGTAAAGAACAATTTTCTTCCCAAATTCTTGATGACCCATCTTTGGAGCGAATGTGATACTGGAATTGTTGAGTTATCTAGATTTGGTGAAACAGCTATAGGGACAAAAAGAAGGGACAACAGATTCGGACCATGAAATTGTAATCAAACCTTTAGGAAATTGCTGAAAAGATGAAAGTGGAGATGCACTAAACAAAATAATAATTAAAAAAAATGAAAAAGCACTCTATTTTTACAAAAAACAAGAGCCTACACTAACTTTGCCCTTCCATTAATTACACTTGTTAACAAAAATATATATATATATATAAATTGGGGAGGAGATATGGAACCCATAAGGTTATTAACGAGAATAAAAAACTATCAAGTGAAAACAAGAAGAATTAAAAACTACAGGGTTCACTTCAGCATATCATCTCGATAGCACCTGGTATGATGCGAAACTTCCGTGGCAAGAAGCCTAAATGTTCCCCATCAGACTGCACAAAAATGCTGCCACTACCTGAAATGTCCTCCACTTCGATAGAGCGCACGCTGCATCGCAGAACACAAGTGTTTAAAAATGGAAGCATGCGGAATTGGGCCGCGAATAGCTGCTGAGTGATTCAATCTTTTGTTACTATCAAGTATTTCAGTTTTCATCCAAAAGAATAGGAGCTACCTTATTGAAGACACATTTTTCACTGATAAATGAGTGCCGTTGTATAGTTTATGCAGTTTGAGAATAAAGTCATACCACTTGAAGTCCTGAAGAATCACCACCTGCAACGGAAAATATATAGAAAAATTCAAATTTAGTACGAAAACTAGATTTTTTTTTTTTTTTGCTCAAATACCAAAACTAGAAACATCTATACACAACACGTATATAAAAAGAGAGAAGAGAAAAATGACTAATTCACCTCAAGAGTTCCATTAGACGGGTCAGCATTTGGTGTAATTTTCATTCCTCCACCAAAGTATTTTGCATTTCCAATGCAAAGGGCCGTCACTCGAGAATATGTTTCCCAATCACGTTCATTAATCTGTATTAACAAATTTAATCACAATTAAACAACAAAAGTTACAACCAACACTTGAGACAAAAAACAAAAAAAATCCGAAGTAGCCATTAAGCAATGCAATCCTGACTAATGAGTTGCAAATAGAAAGAAATTGAACCTCCTTTTTTTTTTTTTTTTTTTGCGAAACTCATAAAGTTAGATCAACCTTGATTCTGAGGTCCTGATTATGGTGCCCCATAAAGGATTGCAAAGCACCAATAATATAGCACAAGTTTCCAAACTTCTTGTATCTAGAAGCGTAATAGCCTGCCTTTGCACTCCTGCAAAATGCAATGAAATTATAAGATCCCCATGAATCCTTGTTGAGACACTTGAACTGTAATATTTTCACGTTAACCTTACAAATGAATATCAGCAACATTAATAAAGTGGTGTGATTCTTCTCCTTGTTCTCCGCTAATTACGCCAATATCTATTCGAGAATGTTGTCCTGCAGACGAAGGAAAAAAAAAAAAAAAGAGAGAGAGAGAGAAGTCACAGGACAAAGTAAACAATATTGGAAAAGCACCTCCACTGTTTGATTCAAAACTCCACGAAGGATGAGAAAGCAGGGGAAAAAAGGGGCAAAACAGCAAAACAGTAAAATAACCTCTATGTATGCGTTCAATGGCTTCAACGGGGTCATTTTTCCTAAAAAGGAGAAAAAGAAAAATAATGACACAATGATCTGGAGCAGCTTATTATAATGAACAAATTATCAAACTAAAGCGCTATAAAATGAAACTTGAATGGAAACCAGACCAATGTAGAAACTTACCAGCCAAGTGTTCTAGCAAAGTCAGAGCCCGTTCCTAAGGGAATCAACTGCAGAAAGCACAAAATATGTCACATGGTTCCACTAGAAAATTCATAACATATCGGTTAAACGTGATTGATGACAGTTGTTGCAGTTGAATAAGATTCACAATTTGAGATTTTGAGATCTCCGAAATATAAGAGTAGACACTTACACCGAGTGCGGTTGAATGTGTGGTTGTTCTATCATGATTAGTGACAGCCTTTCCAGCCCAGAAGAATCCATTAACTACCTGCCATATAAAAAGCAAAAATGGATAAACAAAATTTTTTCCGCAGAAAGAACGAGATGCAAAACAGGGTTTTACCTCGTGAAGAGTTCCATCTCCTCCAACTGCAATGACAGCATCAGCACCTTCCCTTATAGCCTGCACACAAACAAAATAACACAACTCACACCAGGAACCAACCCTTTGGAAAGAGGACCTAGATATGCCAAAGCTCAAAGATAAAAACTCAAATTCCTACCTCCCTTGTTATGTCGATTGCATGACAAGGTCCCGAAGTCAAAGATTCACATATCTGCCCACAGTTTAGAAATTTATTTTTGTCATTAATGAAGATAGTTGAAGGACAAACAACTATCACGCGTGCATATTGAAGAAACTAACAGTGTACCACATGCCGAGTAGAATACAACAGAGTCCAATTTTGGCCTGCGGTTACATATGATCAACAAATTTACTAGTCTCGAGAAGTTTCAAGAATTATGAATTAACACGTTCAAAAAGTTCTATACCAAACCAATCAGATGACTCCATTTTTTTTTTTTTTTAAATCTGACAACTCCAATTTGCATCTACATGAATCGGATAGCTTTTGGAAACTCAAAATCACATAACCAACGAGACAGCCAAAATTCAAAGAAGGTTCATATTTATGTACTGAAATGTATCCAATTAGAGCATCTCCAATGCAATGTTATAACTGGTGTGCCAATGACAAATTTTGCATTTGAGGGGAAAAAAAATAAGAACTCTACAATGCAGTGTCATTTATTTGCTAAATTTGCCATATGGCAAATTTGCGATACTTGGTGGCATAGCAAATGGCAAATTTGGCATTGATTTCTATTAGTTGATATGCTTACTTTTTCATTTAATTGTTACAACACTTGTATTTTCAAATTATTTTAAAATTAGAAGTTTACTTTTACAACTTCCAGAGCTAAATGATTGTGGTAAAAAGTAGATTTAGCATTTGAAAAAACATTATGCATTATAGCACAAGTAAAAATAACATGTCAACAGTCAAAAGTACCATTATCACACTTTTC